AATTGATTATATTACCAGTATAATCAATTATGATAGAGAAAATTATTTTTCTATTTCGATGCATCATAATTAATTATGACAGAGAAAAATATCACGTTATGAATTTTATCACATTTGTGCTTTGGAGGCTTATGTATAATATTACTTCATCAACTTGTATCTCCATATCCAAGTATTCGAAGACTTTATCTAGTCTTCAGGAATCATCTTGGGCTTGCTTGAATAATCATCTTTATCAAAAACATATCTTGGGCATGTAGGGAAATGTTTCACATTTTCACCAATGTCATAAATTCAGCTTTGTCCTTAATTCATCTTGAATGGTGTTGACTTGAATGTAGTTGACTTGAATCATCATCAAAATCATCTCTTGGGAATGTAAGGACATTTCCATCAATCTCCCCCTCATTGCTTTCAGGATTCTAGCTTTTATCATTGCATGGATGCTTACTCCAAGAGGGAGTAATCATGCATTACTTAATGAGGGTGATTTGGCTCTTATGTATTGCATTGAAAATAATATCCATGTAAATTGGATTTTTGTTATCAAGGATCATATGATAAAAGCAAAAATATTGGTCGATTATAAACTCGCCATATGATATGCTCGATTAATCAATTTTTTAGATACTTTGAAGTAGATCTTGCATGGGAATATGTGGAAACTCCAAAGGCCTCCAATAATATTGATGATTCCACTTTGCGGACGATGGGATTTATCAAAATTGATGGAGAGTGGATCTCTAAGATTGATGTTGGGATGTTTGAAGATTAGGAAGAAGTGAAGAAGAAGATGATCAAGGTCAAATTCCTTCTTCTCCAGATTGCTGGAGAGGTTCCCGAATCCATCGGTGGTCAAGCTTCCTATGAAAACATGGAGATTATACCATACATGGAGCAACTCGACCATGGATCTCCTCTCTCCCAGTTTGAAAGAACCATGCTTTCTCAAATGGCCACAATGCAAGAAAATCATAGGAAGCATATGCAAATGACCTATCAGCACTTCCAATACACCAACACACAATTCACTAACCTGGGAAATCAAATTGCTAATATTTACACCAAACTGGAAGATATGCAGCTGAACCAGGGAAATTGGGATGATTAAGTATCATCAAGAAGGGTTCTTTCTATCTTTTTTTTTTAAGTTTTTGTTTCATGGTTTTCTTATTTTTCGTTACTTTTATTCTACATTATGGTATGTAATATTGACTGAACTTTGATTAACTATCTTTATACGATATTAGCTATTTTAGTTTTTAATTAGAAACCCCAGATTGAAACAAATAGCATAAAACTGATAGTTTTAACTAATACAAAAACAGTTTAATCGATTAAATTCATTTAAAGAAACATTTATATAGAAAGATTGTACTCTTTTAATCGATTAATTCATGAATTAATCGATTAAAAATCATAAATCATGAATCTGTATCAACTAAAATTGATTTACATCAATTAAAATCACTTGATAAGATGCCTTACTCGATTTTACTCTATCTTTTGGTTAAAAATTAATCAAATTAGTTGACTTTGTTACTAAACATCTTATAATAACCATTCTTATTAAAATTCAAAATGAATTAGGCAGTTTAGATGCATCAAACATAACTTAGTTTCTAAATCTGGTTGTTTTAATTGATAGAAACAAGTTTTAATCGATTAAATGAACTTTACAAAACTTTTTCATACAATTTTAATCGATTAAATGTCGATTTAATCGATTAAATAAACTCAAGTTTTTAAATTTCAAATTTCATTACTTGTTTTAATCGATTAAAACATTATTTGTATCAATTAAAATCAATAACAAGAACAATTTAATCGGTTATGTCCTGTTTTTAATCGATTATTACTCTAGAAAGAAAATTAAAGGCTTTAGTTAATGGTTGTTCTTGTAACATGCTACTAAAGCATGGTTCCCTTATCTTTACGCGTGTCTATTGTAATCATTACAAACATGTTAATGAAGATAAGTTTGAATCAACTTTAATTGGTTCTTAAAAGAGTAATACTTCTCGATGGTATCATGAATTTTTTTTTTAAAAATTTGTTACATACCATGCATATTGTTTTACTCCTCTCTTCCCTATTTTTGTTGAAGTCAAAGGGGGAGAAATGTTTGTTATGATTGTTTTTTATTATGATTGTTTTTATACTCACTATTTTAGGGGGAGTAATAATCTAGGGGGAGAAATGATTAATTTTTTAATACTCACTAATCTGTATATTCAAGTGACTTCTTCTGCAGAGATATTATTCAAAGAGGTGTTTGTCTTCATCAAATAGGGGGAGACTGAAAGTGATGAAGATCTTATTGAATCATTTGATTAAACGAAGATCTTATTGATTTGATGAAGTCAAAATGAAGTCAAAAGTTATTCTGGTGAAGTCAAAGGTTACTTGGATAAAAGGGTAGAGTGATTAGTGAGTCTGCATCTATACATAGGTATAATCATTCATATATCTGTGCTTCATGAGGTTTCATCATTTAAAAGATTTTGCAAATGCCTCTAAATGTGTTTAATATGTTAAAAACCAAAGTAATCGGTTAAATGGTTTTTAAGTAATTGTTTTAACTGATATTATATGAGCTTTATCAGTTAAAATGTTCTTAATACTTACATAATAGGTTTTTAACTGATAGGTTTTCGAAATAATCGATTAAAACCTTTTAAAACATACACTAGGACTGTTTTAATCGATTAAGGAGGTGTTTTCATCCTTTGATTTGTTCAGAGGAGGTGTTCATCCCTAGTGGGATTCTAGGGAGGTGTTCATCCTTAGTGGGTTTCTAAGGAGGTGATTGTCTTTTTAATTAGTTTATTTTTTACTGGTTCTTCTGCTGAGTTGATTGTAATTTGTAAACTGAATTTGAAAGATAGTGAATGGGGAGTCATTCTTGTGTTAAGAGTTGACTGGGAACTGGATGTAGGGTTGGCTATACCTGAACCAGTATAAATCTCTGTGTGCTCTTCTCTTTCCCTTATCTCTTTCTCTTTTCCTGATTATATTATTGCTTTCGCTTTAACAAATTATTGACTCACAAATAAATTTTTAATTTGACATCTATTTTAATTTGTGCATCTATTCACCCCCTCTAGATGTCATTTGTCTAACAATTTTTACTGATATAGAATCGAAATAATCGATTAAAATGACTTAAGATGTTTTGAAAAGTGTTCTGGTAGTATTTTAATCTATACAAACTAGAAATAATCGATTAAAATAACTTGAAGTGTTTTGAAAGATGTTCTGTCAATATTTTAATCGATGTAAATGCGAATTAATCGATTACAACCACTTGAAAGAAGTTCTGTCAGGATTTTAATTGATGTGTTATCAGTTAAAATAACTTAGAAAGTTTTATGAAACTATTTGGCAGGATTTTAATCAATTAAAATGTGAAATAATCGATTAAAACAACTAAGAAATTTTTTTCAAAGTGTTTTAATCGATTAAAATAGATTGTTAACAGTTAAAATCACTTAGAAAGTTTTATGAAAACATTTGGCAGTATTTTAATCGATTAAAAGGCGAATTAATCGATTAAAACAACTTAAGGGATTTTTTACAAAGAGTGTTAATCGATTGAAACGATGTCGCATCAGTTAAAACAAATCTGGAAAATGATCAAGAACATTTTAACAGATTAAAAGAAGTTTTAACATATTAATTCAAGACTTTTAACATATTAAAAGATTGTTTTAACAGATTAATTAAACCAATAGTTTGAACAATCTTCTATATAAACAGGATTACTTGAGTCTTTTAAAATATACCTTTGAGCAATCAATCAAGCAATCATAAGAGCTACTTTCAAGAAAGAATCACACGAGTTTTGTGAAGTTTTTCAAAGTTCTTTCTTGAGGCATTTTCTGCATTTCTTTTATGAAGAAACTCATTCTGCAGAGCAGCATAATCCGGGTTTAAGTGTTCTAGTTTCTTCTCTTTGTTTCTTTTATATTTCATTACTGTATTGTGAGTGTCTAGAAGTGTGGGCATTGGTTTCTGTGACTGGAATTTGGTTGCAGGGTGGTTCAAGAATTGGAAGTTGGTTCTTGGTGAAGGTTTAGGTGCAAGGACTCGAATTTTGGTTCTTGTGGTAGATTGGGTGTGTGATTGGAATTGTAATCTATAAAACATTCAATCTAGTGGAACTCAGCTGGAATTTAGTTGAGAACTGGACGTAGCCCTAGGATTGGGTGAACCAGTATAAATCTTGGTTGTATCTCTCTAAACCTTTCTCTTTTTAATTTTGTTGCTACCTTTATTTTGATTGGTTGTTTTTTTTATTCAAGAATTGGTCAGAACTCTTAATCTTTGAAATAGATAATCTGTAATTTGAGAAAATCTTTCAAAGATCAATTCACCTCCTCCCCCTCTTGATCTCAACCTCCTTTTCTAACAATTAGCTCATGATTTTTTTATTATTTTATTGTTTTTATTAGTATTCTCATGCTTATACTTTTAATAATAAATGCAGGTGACATTTGGTAAATTCAATTACCTAAGAATTGGAAAAAGAAAAGTTTTTTTTTTAATTGCCTTATTGGAAATGTCTAAAATCAGGTCATAATTTAGATGTCATACATATTGAAAAAAATTTTGTGATAACATAATAGGAACATTGATGGATCTTGAGAAAAAGACAAAAGATAGTTTAAACTCCCGATTTGATCTAGCCTATATGGGTATACGAGGAGAACTTCATGCGACCATAAATGATAAAGGAAAATACACATTCCCTCATGCATGTTACACTATGTCATCTAGGGAAAAACATGTATTTTGTCAATTTATTGTTGATCTAAAGGTTCCATATGGTTACTCATCTAATAATTCTCGTTGTATAGACGTCCAAGGGGGGAAAATATATGAGATGAAATGTCATGATTGTCATGTATTTTTACATCGTTTTCTCCCTCTTTTGATTCGTGGTATTCTTCAAAAGGAAGTTTGTGAGACTTTAATTGAACTAAGTTTTTTTTTTTTAGAGAGTTATGCTCCAAGACATTGAGTTTAGAGAGCCTAAGCTTTCTAGAAAAAAAACTATAGTTTTGACTTTGTGTAAGTTAGAAAAAATATTCCTTCCTTCTTTTTTTTGACACAATGATCCATCTACTCATTCACTTAGTAGATGAGGTAAAGATTGCTAGGCATTACAATATCGTTGGATTATCCTATTGAAAGATACCTTCATAGGCTTAAATCATATGTGAGGAATAAGGCTCGTCGTTGAAGCTTATATTGCACAAGAGTGTGTTCACTTTTGTTCAAGATATTTGCATGGAGTTGAAACAAGATTGAATTGATACGACATAAATTATGAAGGTGATCTAGATTAGTTAAATAAATCAAAGTTGAAATATTTTTTAGAAGTTGGAAAACCATTACATAGAAAAAAATATGTTGAGCTAAATATAGTAAAACAAGAGCAAACAAGAATTTATATTCTTCAAATTGTGATGAAGTCTCACCTTTTATTCGAGTAAGTGATTTTCTTAAATTACATATTTATATTATTATTGTAAAACTATAATTTATTGTATTCTTGCATTTTATGATCAGGTTACACAAAAAAGAATTAGAAAAAGCAAATTCACAAAATGTGGAACAAAGACATAAAAAACAATTCTTTCAATGGTTCAAAAAATATGTACGTATGTTTCTTTTTTTTTTTTTGTTCTGCCATTATATAAATTGAAAAATATTAAAATTACATTTTATATTGAACAGGTTACAATTTTAAAGAAAAAAGAGGATAAAAGTATAAATGAATCATTATTTTGCTTGGCTTATGGATCTGATACACGTGTTTTTCGATATACAAGTTATTTGATAAATGGCTGGAGGTTTAATATAAAGGATCATGATATGCACTTGAAATCACAAAATAGTGGAGTTTTAGTTACAGGTGACGAGAATGCAGGTAATCTTGATTACTTTGGTGTCTTTATAGATATTATTGAATTAAGTTACTTAGATGGAAACAATGTTGTTTTATTTAAATGTGATTGTGGGATGTAAGTATGGATTTATTCTCATTAATAATAATCATAAATTGAGGACTAATAAACCATATGTCCTAGCTAGTCAAGCTCAACAAGTGTACTATATAAAAGACACTCATGATCCTAATTGGCTTGTTGTAGTAAAAACAAAGCCTCGAGACTTATACGATATGCATGAGGAAGCTATACATGAGGTATGTCAGGAAAATGATGATATTGATTGTATCTCTTTTACATCTAATGATGTATTAGACAATAAACATGTGTTATCTTTAAATAGAAATGACTTAGCTCAATCAACAACTAACTGAAATCCAATGGTCTATATGGAAGTTATTGATGAAGAAGAAGAAACAAATATTGAAAGTATTGATTATGATTTGATATTATTTTAAAAATATATTTTTTTTAGTTGAAAAATAAGAAGATATTAGATAAAAAATTTAATGATTTGAGTTATATTTTTTCATTATTATTATATATTAATGAAATATTTTTATTGAATTATGTACAAATATATATATATATATATATATATATATATATATATATATATGAATTTATTATAAATTATTATTGATATAACAAAATTAAAATTCTAATGATAAATGATATATTATTATTAATGAATATTTTATAATATTATTAACAAAATATTTTCTTAATATAAAATTAAATAATTCATTTATAATTCCTTTTAATACAATAAAATTAAATAATAATAGTAATATTAAATTAAAACTTTATTTTATAATATCAAACATTGGCTATATTAAATTAGTATTAAAATAGTTATTTAGTAATAAAGTAATAGAAAATAAGTAAATATTAAAATAAAGTAATGTAGTAAATAATAAATGATTAATAAATTTAAATATAAAGTATTATAATTTTGTATCATTTTTATTATTTCTTTATATTTTATTTAATATATATATATATATATATATATATATATATATATATATCATGTTATCACGTTTTTTTATATGTTAAACAAACGTTTATATTATTTACAAACATATATAATACACTACTACAAATAAAGCTTTCAAAGTTTTCAACATCGGTTGACGTTGTATCAGGCGACGTTGAAAGTTGTAACTTTCAACGTACGTTGAAAGTATGATTTTTTAAATTGATAATTTTTATTTATTTACAACCCCTTTACCCCTTTATTTATCTAGAAGTCTCCCTCTCTTTATATTATATTTTTATTAGGTCTCCCATAGCTTTCAACGTCGGTTAACGTTGTATCAGGCGACGTTGAAAGTTGTAACTTTCAACGTATGTTGAAAGTATGATTTTTTAAATTAATAATTTTTATTTATTTACAACCCCTTTATTTATCTAGAAGTCTCCCCTCTCTTTATATTATATTTTTATTAGGTCTCCCATAGCTTTGAACGTCGGTTGACGTTGTATCGAGCGACGTTGAAAGTCGTAACTTTCAACGTATGTTGAAAGTATGATTTTTTAAATTAATAATTTTTATTTATTTACAACCCTTTTACCCCTTTATTTATCTACAAGTCTCCCCTCTCTTTATATTATATTTTTATTAGGTCTCCCATAGCTTTCAACGTCTGGTTGACGTTGTATCGAGCGACGTTGAAAGTTACGACTTTCAACGTACGTCAAAAGTATGATTTTTTAAATTAATAATTTTTATTTATTTACAATCCCTTTATTTATCTAGAAGTCTCCCCTCTCTTTATATTATATTTTTATTAGGTCTCCCATAGCTTTCAACGTTGGTTGACGTTGTATCACGCGACATTGAAAGTCGTAACTTTCAACGTACGTTAAAAGGCGACGTTGAAAGTTACGACTTTCAACGTTGAAAATATGATTTTTTAAATTAATAATTTTTATTTATTTACAACCCCTTTATTTATTTAGAAGTCTCCCCTCTCTTTATATTATATTTTTATTAGGTCTCCCATAGCTTTCAACGTCGGTTGACGTTGTATCGGCGACGTTGAAAGTCGTAACTTTCAACGTACGTTGAAAGTATAATTATTTAAATTATTATTTAAATTAATAATTTTTATTTATTTACAACCCCTTTACCCCTTTATTTATCTAGAAGTTCCCCTCTCTTTATATTATATTTTTATTAGGTCTCCCATAGCTTTCAACGTCGGTTGACGTTGTATCAGGCGACGTTGAAAGTCGTAACTTTCAACGTACGTTGAAAGTATAATTATGTAAATTATTATTTAAATTAATAATTTTTATTTATTTACAACCCCTTTATCCCTTTATTTATCTAGAAGTTCCCCTCTCTTTATATTATATTTTTATTAGGTCTCCCATAGCTTTCAACGTCGGTTGACGTTGTATCAGGCGACGTTGAAAGTCGTAACTTTCAACGTACGTTGAAAGTATAATTATGTAAATTATTATTTAAATTAATAATTTTTATTTATTTACAACCCCTTTACCCCTTTATTTATCTAGAAGTTCCCCTCTCTTTGTATTATATTTTTATTTGGTCTCCCACAGCTTTCAACGTCGGTTGACGTTGTATCAGGCGACGTTGAAAGTCGTAACTTTTCAACGTACGTTGAAAGTATGATTTTTTAAATTAATAATTGTTAAGGTTCCAACATAAAACCAATTGGCAGTATGTGGAGTAGCCTAACATGTATTTAAACCATACCAAATGACATGAGGTAGGCAATGTGGGACTTTCAACACACCCCCTCCAACGAAGCCTGCCGGACCAGGCAAAGGGTACTTTTGACCCAACTAAAGGGCAACTTTTGGCCCATGACAATAACCGGAAACATGTTAGGCTTTGACTCTGATACCATGTTAAGGTTCCAACATAAAACCAATTGGCAATATGTGGAGTAGCCTAACATGTATTTAAACCATACCAAATGACATGAGGTAGGCGATGTGGGTCTTTCAACAATAATTTTTATTTATTCATAATTTTTATTTATTTACAACCCCTTTACCCCTTTATTTATCTAGAAGTCTCCCCTCTCTTTATATTATATTTTTTAGAAGTTTATTAATTTTTTAAGAGAATTGTCATTGGCAGGATTCGAACATAGTACCTTAGAGTTGGAGGCTGATACTCCAACCACTAAACTACTAGAATTTTTTGATAATAACTTACGAATAAATTATATTTATATACAAATAAATATATATCCGTGTAAATATATAAATATATAAATACAAATATATTTATATATTTTGATATATTTATATAGTTATATATTTATATGTTGGATGTGAGGGCACACTCGAAAGTGAAAGTGTGTATCGAGTGGGTTTTCAAATTTGATGCTAAATTTGTGAGCATGTATCTTTATATGAGTTTGTAATTTAATGACAGAATATAATCTTTATAATTTTATTTATATAATGATATAAAATAAATTTGGGAAACGCGTCATTCGCTCTCAAGCGAAAAATACCAATTTTTGCTCAAGCAAGACTTGAGTGAGTGAATTTCCGTGAGCTTTAACATATTTTGACTCAAGCGAGAGTCAATCACACTTTCACCCTCGATCGAAAAATACCAATATAATTTATTTATAAGTTATTATAAAAAAATTATAGTAGTTTAGTGGTTGGGATATTAACTTTCAACTCTAAAATCTTGAGTTTGAATCTTGTCGGTGACAATTTTCAAATTTAAGTGAATTTTTGGGTGAAAAAAAAAAAAACTTTCAACGTCGGTTCATATGAGAACCGACGTAGAAAGTACTTTCTATGTCGGTTGACTAAGAACCGACGTAGAATGTGTTTAATATTCAACTTTCAACGTCGGTTTTTAGTCAACCGACGTGGAAAGTACTTTCTATGTCGTCTCAGTTATAACCGACGTTAAATGAGGACGTAGAAAGTATATTTTGTAGTAGTGAATAAAATATATTTTGTATTTAAAATATTATTAATATGAAATTTTCGGAGAAAATAACAAGTTATTGTTATAACTTACATTATCTTAAAAGTGAATAATTATTGTTATTTATTTAAAATAATATAAAAATTTAAATATAAAATTAAATTAAATTAATTAGTAAGAGGGAGTATTGACAATACTTTACAAAATAAATTAAAAAATTTATGAAAAAGTAATAGAGATATACTATATGTCAATAAAAAATATATTTCAATTGAATATATCTACTTTATAGATTATTAGAAAAATTCTTTATTCCTATTGTAATTAAGTTTACTTAATATAAAAAAGTATTATATAAAAAGTCATAATTAATTTTTACTTAATTTTTCTTTGAAAAAATAATAAAAAACCTTTAATAGCACCTCTTAACCAATTATTTAGAAATAACATAATAAAAAATAAAAATAATTGGATCAAATTAAATAATATGTTTTTATTAAATATAAAATTCAAATGATTCCAATTAATTGAAAATATGGTTATATTTCTTTCATCTTATTTATTCTTTAAAGATAAAAATAAGTTAACTTAATATTAATAATGAATAACATTATTAATAATTAATTTTGTCCCTAAAAATATGGTTAAAAGTTTAATCTAAAATGTTGTTATTTTTATATTATTTAAATAATTTTTTCAATTTTAATATTAAAATTTTTAACTTAATTAAATATAAAAATAAGGTAAATAATTTTTTATTATTTATTAGAATAAATTTTTAAATTTAAGATTTACAAATAATATAATTTATTAAAGATATAAAACATATTTAAACTCAAAATAATAATGTATATTGTTTTACGTTTCAAGGTTTTAAATAACAACATTAACATTTTTAGTTTATTTATTTAAATAATTGATTTTATTATTAATTATTTGTGACATACATTTTATATTTTTAATGAAATTATGATAATAATTTTTAATTTAATCATCGTTTTTAAATAATAATTATAATATATATATATATATATATATATATTATATATTTATAAATTACAATAATAATTTTTTATTAATCATTAATACGTGAATAATATCTATGACAAATATATTATTATTGTCATTTTTAATAAAATTATAGTGACAATTTTTAATTTAGTTACTAATATAATAGTATTTTTAATAAATTTTTAATTTAGTCATTAATTTAATAATATTTGTGATAAATTAAAAATTTGTCATAAATAAAAATAGTAATAAATATATAATGAAAACATAAATTCGTCATTAAATGCGTATAAACCGTCACAAATTTTGTGT